GACTTCAGAACATTAGGTTCCGCAGCCATATCACAAAACATACATCTTCTGTTATTGATAGACATCCATGAGGTTCAACTTGCAGATATGTATGCTCCTCATGAATGCACTATATCAGATTGAAACATGTTTTCTACTTTTACATGCTTGCAACTCACAGCAACAAATTCACAGCAAACTTTTGTTAGATTTTTGCCCTTGGCATGCAAAGATTTTATTACACATTCACAGTTTATCTACTGTTTTATAGTGGCAGTCATCTTTGTTGTGATGTAATATACACATGCACTCAATATTAAGACTGTTCTAGCTGTTATAACAAACATTGCATACTTCTTGTTGCTTTCACAATTTTTTTTAATTCTGGTCTATCTGTATCTTACTTTTTGGACAAATAATAAAACATGTCATGTTATGTGACTTTTCCTATTTATATAGATGTTGTTTTTTTTTGTTTAAAAGAAACAAGATCTAGTTTAAATTTCTACTTGAAGGCATCACAACAATCTCTAATGACTAAGGATATTTTAAATATATAATTTTGACAAACTATGCTTTCATTTAGTCAAATAATGTCATATATTTTTATATAATTGTAAAATTCTATACATTTTCTATAGTTTCATTCAGTTGATTCTCAGAAAGATTTTTGTTTATTGTTTTTCATATATAGTTTTATTACAATTAAATCATTTGTTCTTGTTATGATAAAAGAAATCTTTAAAAAATATTTAGCAGAGATTTTCAATTGAAATTTACTAGCTATAAGCATGTCTTATATAAAGATTGATGTTTTCTATATGTTTGCAAGAACTATCAGTTCATTTACAAAATATTTTTGTAAATCATAGAAAATGGAGCATCATTTTTAGTCATAATGCAAAATGTTTCTTAAGGATAATTTCCCCATTTCAATAAAAATTTCTTGAAGCTTTTAACTATTTTCTATTTTGTAATGTGATTATGGTCTTTTGGTTCTGATTTGCATTACAATTTTAAAATGTTTTTGGTACACATTGCAGCATACATATCTTCCATTAATTGCCTTTCATATGGAAATATGTTTTCACTTGGCAAATATAAATGAAATATATTTAGCATTGGTACAGTTTATTTAAAATGGTATTTAAAGCTAATAAATATACAGAGAGTTTTATATTCTGTGCATTGCAATAACATTATTGGACTTTTTTATTTAGGCTAATTGGAAACAACAAAAACTGTATATAAATATGGCAATAAAAATATCTCCTTCTGTTTGTATAAATATATATGAGAGACACACTGAAATCTATGCTTCAGGCTGAACCTTCCCACCAATAACCCATTTCTTTTTGCTTTGTTGCAAATAGCACCTGAGCAAGAGTCCAGCAAAATGACGTCTGACATGAAAGTGTGTCTAAAGCAATATGTATTTCAATGAATTTCTTCATTGCACTCATTAACATTAATCAACACTTAATAAACATTTCTGGAGACCAAACAGTGGGTATGAGTGCAGTTAGATGGTGGGTAGTATATTTCAATATGGAAGCAGAAATGTGTGACAAGCATACAACAAAATGAAGAGTATCTCAATTTGCTTATCTTTAGATTATCACCTGGGAAATGTGTACAGAATTGAATGTTGACTTTATTGCATTGGAAACAATGTTGGGATATTACAAAGTTTGTGCCAAGTGAGTAGCATGAATACTAATGAAAGAACAGAAAGACCACCTAATGCAAGTTTCACAGAACCAATTCAACCACTACAAGGCTGAAGGTGAGGGTTTTCTGGCCACATTATCACTGTGAGCTCTTTTAGGACCTGAAACTTAGTTAAACCATCAGCTCTGACATATATTGCAACACCATGTTAAAGGTTAGAATTTCCAGATTCAAGCCACAGATGAAGATAACTTTTCACTTGGAAGAAAATAATACCAGTTCCCACACCAGTATGATGAGTATACTACAAATTTTAACTGAGCTGTCCTACAACTCCCACCATATAGTCTGGCTGTAGTGTTTTCTAAGTTTTGTCTTTTTAGGCCAATGAAAAATGGTCTACATCTATAACATTTTTCTAACAATGATGTTATTATCACTCTGGTGAAGATTTTCATTAGTATAGCATGTAAATTCTTATTCATACCTGGTAAAAATGCATTGCTAATAGTGGTGTCAAAATGCTAGGAAAATAGTGTTTTATAGTTGAAAACTTGCTCTATCCAGAGATGTTATTATGCTCTCTGTATCTAGTAATTTCTATAAATAGGAGGCATGATTTTTGGAGCACATCCCATATTTATTATACTTCATATTTGTAGGATTTAAAAATTGTCTGTAAAAGTTGATATGCTTGTAATAACAATAAACTTACATAAGAGCAAGATATGATGTTGAGTCAAAATGGCATACATTGGCTAATATCCACATGAAATTTAAGTCACTGCTATATTTTAATCTGTTTGTATAAATAGTTAATGCTCTTAAAACCACCAATCACCATAAATCAATTTCCAGTGGTAGATACTTTTGAAAAGAATTTTTGATTCACAAAATTGTAGGAAATATCAATAATTTTGTCTGCCTTTCTCTGTAAAAATAACATTACAGAAATCAGCTAGAATTCTGACATTTCTGATGTAATCTCTAAAAATAAATATACATTGCATTTTTCATGAAATGCAATGCAGCATATAAACAAACATTTTGTTTTCTACTTTTCAATTCATATTGGATTTCTTATTATTTTTATCAAATAAAACAATAGATGTTCATGATAACATGGAATAATGGTTGCACTTGTGGTACACTTTTAGTCTTTCTTAGATTTCCAAGGGCAGATAACTCAGCAAGTTTGTGTAACAGTTTTTTGCTCAAGAGATCACAATAAGAAATTTACAAAGGTCACAGCTTGCCTGCTGCTTTATAATAGAACAACAATCTTGAACATCTTTAAATTGATCTCTGTTGCAAGTGTCAATCAAGTAAAAAATACAATTGTCTTATAAAAAAATCGGTAACATATTTTCTTGATTTGTGTTTTGTTAACCATCTTTAGCACTATGGAATCTGTTTGACTATTTCTAGCTTTCTAAATACATCAATTGTTTGAATTTTCAAAAGTGAATATTTAGCAATCATCTCTGTTTCCTATGTAGCCTCAGCAAACTTGGACATTTTTACACACAAAAATCAGTGTCAAAAGGATGGTTTTTCCCTTGACAGTGCTATTATTTTAACTACCTTCAATCTGCAGCAATGTTTATGGTTTTAAAAAGGTATTGAAATAAAACCGAAACATATAATGAAAATGAATTTATACATTTTTTGTTCTTGAGAATTTATGATAATATTATACACTATTTATTAGTTTCTTTATTCACAAGAATAATTTTATATTTGCAACATTATAAAAACTAATGCAATGCAATATTTATCATTTACCAATTTATAAAGAAATAAATATGAAAACAAATTTTTATTCATAAATTGATAAAGATTTATTAAATTATGAAAATATGTGAACCAACTATAAGGAATTTCTTATTATTTATCATTTTATAAAGTTCAAATTAATTGGCAATTAGCCAATGATTTGCCAACTATTCCAATAAACAATCTAATAAATAGTGTAAATAAACAATCTAATAAATCAAAAGGACTTGAAGCTTTTCATAATTAAATATTTTTTAAAATTTAAAATTAGTTTTTAAATCTATTACATTTTTAACAAGCATCTTTGAATAAATGACTCATATCTTTCTTAACATAAAATCCACTGCTGATTTCTTTTCTAGATCAATGAATACAGCATTTGCATATCTGTGACTTACTTTGAAGTTTCCTCTTTTGGGTCAGATTTGTCACATTTAACTAACATAAGAAAACATACAAACTTGGACCAAGGAATGCAGTTTCAGTATATGAGTATAGAATAGACCATTCCATAGATTATTTGCAGAATCAATTAATATAATAGTTTTTAAGCATGAAGCTCATTGCACACATACATTTTCCCATTCATTTTCAAATATAACCTTTAAGGTATATTGTGTGTAAAAACCCAAGCTCAAGAGAAAATTTAAACAGCAGTTGAAATGATTATTTAACCAAAATAAATGATAGTTAGATTAGCGTTTTAGTTTTTGGTTGAAATATAAGATGCAAGAAATAGTAGAACCACTTATCATACTGGGTATATATATATATATATATATATATATATATTCATCAAAATATGCTTGTAAGAAGTTAGAGTGATTAGCTTGATATTATGTAAGTCCTTGAAGTGTCTACTTTCCTAAACCAAGAAAATATTTTATTAAATAGTTTAAAAAAAAAAAAAAAACCCTGACATAGGAGGCAGTTACTCTTCCTTGGATGCATTGGATATGCTGAAGAAGAAAGTGATGAAGGGAGACTTCAAGAATGCATGACAGTTGATATTTGAGCAGAACTTTTGAAATTTGATCATGATGGGAATTTCTTTCAGTGGCATACCTTTTAACCGTTAGCTTAAAATATTTGCTATGAAGGAAGTCACTGTAGTTTGATGTCATTTTGTCTTTATTTCTACACTAATATGCATTCCTTTCTGTTTGTTCATCTAGAAATCTCTCTGTGGCAACATTGGTGCTTAGTGACTTTTAATGATGTGATTAAAATATGAATCAATAAACTGTTTCTTTACTGAATGCAAAATAATAAGTCACCAATGTCAGTCATTTAGTCTGTGATATTTTCTAGTCATACAAATGTCACAGAAATCAACATTCATAAAGATTATTATCAGCTTACATTTTTTTGTTATTTTATACTGTTTTTTGTTTTTTTAAGAAAATAGTCCTTCTCCTCCACCAATCTTTATTTTTTGAAAGATGTATTGCTGGTTTTTAACTAAACTCAAATTGCCATCTTATTTGCTATTCTTACTTTAAGTGCTATACTGCTAGCCCTATATTGTATTGCATGGCATCTTTAATTTCATTTTTCTTTTTTACTTTTGACAGAATCCAGCAAATTCAGTTACTTGGACGAGACATGAAGGGTGCTGAACACGACAAACTTTGGAACCAACTTGAAGCTGAAATACATCTTCATCGACACAAGACTGTTATCCGAGCCTGTAGAGGACGTAGCAACATTAAGAAGAAACTTCCTGTGCCACCAGGACATGTGAGTAATTTTCTGTCACTCACTGTACTGAAGAAGTGATGACTTTAAGTACAAAATAAAATGAAATAATTTTATTAATTTTCTGATTATGAGTAAAATTTGAAATAATCTACTATATGCTTGTTTTAAGCCATTTTAAAAAAAATTACTTTTGCTTTGGAAGAGTAGTATTTTGACATTTACTTTCATAATATTGACTCAGTGCCGCTATATGTTTTATTTATGCCATCTTGGCTTCTTCAATACATCCAAGGGAGAGAATTCATTAACAGTAAAGAGTTGCTTACGAAAGAGCACATACTTTCCATTATTTTAACTTAACATCAGATATGTTCACGAACAATTAGTTATTTCACTTAAAAATTGATCAAAAGTATTTATGATTATTTTTAATTGTACCACCATCACTAAATCAGAGACTTACAGCTATATTGGTGTTGAAACACCAGTTCCTGTACAATCACCAATTAATCAGGTATGTGGCAGCTACTGAGCAGAAACCTTCGTCATGCCAAGTTCATTGTGCAAAATATTCTCAACTCTTTCATAGGATATGCTAATAGCATTAGTTGTTTGATTTATAGTCAATCACCAGTCATCCATCATCATGTGGTGACCCAATCAATGTTTTCTCTGGTTGTGGCAGTTACAGGATGTCCAGGTCTTGGATCATCTTCAGTACTCCGTTTTCCTCCTAAATTCAGCTTCCTATTTTTGCACTGTTGATAAAGTTAGAGTATCATCCCCTAACATAGCAACCATGTCAATATGAATGTCCTTGGAGGCTAAACCCTTTTTATGTAGGTACTAGTACATTTGAAGTCTTCTTTGAACAGTTAGATGTCAATTTATCCAGAAAGAAACAACAGAGTTATTAATAAGAAGATTTGAAATTAATGCATACAAGATTTCACAGCTCTAGCATCACTCCTACATAGTCAGCCTATGAACTTTTCAGCCCTTCCTCGTACCTGGAAAACCAATAGAGTTATTAATAAGAAGATTTGAAATTAATGCATGCAAGATTTCACAGCCCTATCATCACTGCTTCATAGTCAGCCTATGAAATTTTCAGCCCTTCCTCATACCTGGAAAGAAACAACAGAGTTATAAATAAGAAGAGCTAAAATTAATACCTGGAAAGAAACAATAGAATTATAAATAAGAAGAGCTGAAATTAACGCATTCAAGATTTCACACCCCTAGCATCACTGCTTCATAATCAGCCTATGAACTTTTCAGCCCACCTTCATAATTAGCTCCTACTAAGCTAGGAAGTTAAAGCTATTTAACCCATTAATGCATTGTGTTCACTTTTTTTAGTGAGGGATTTCTTAAAATTTTAAATCTGCCAGCCCTAAGATGATTAGCTAGCCCAATCACATGATGGAATGCATTTTCTCTCTTTGTGGAAAACTTGTTGGACATTTCTCGATCCATTGTTTGGCTCAGAGTGGCCACCAGATTCATCAAACCGTGCACAAACATGATTTACCATGACTGTGATGAAGAGCTGATTGATGCATTGTTGAAGATGATGAAACGAGAAACAACTGCCAGAGTGAAACAGAATGATCCTGTGTAGGGAGAATGGTGTCTTATCAGCCAGAAAATGCGAACGAATCCCCTGCAGATAAACCAGCTTTACCAAGTAGTCTCCCTGTCACTAGCCATCAGGAGGTTGATATGAAAGCACCTCACTAACTCCTAGACAATGAAGCTGGAGCTATCCCCCTCAGAAGAAGCATGTGTCAGAAGCAGCCTGTACCCAACAGCACTTTTTGTGATCACAAGATCAATGGGGAGTCTGGTGAAATAGGACCAAGAAATTCTAACTTACCCGTGGTTAAGAGGCCACTATGTTTTGCCTACCAGGTCACAGCTGTCATTTGCAATTTAGGTAAAGCACATGTGTGATTCTAGTGGTTTTAAAATTATTGCTAATTTGCATGCAGAGTCAAAAACCTGAATCAATGATGAGCTGCACAAACAAGCAGGGGATAATCTACAAAGCATGATTTGTTCTGAGCTGGGCTCATTGTAACTATCAACTACACCAGCAAGGGAGATTAAGCAAATAGAGATAAAATGTTAAGGAAAATTTATGCAGTGAGTGAATTTTGTAATTTTTTTTATTATTGAATATATTATAAAACTCTTTAAGAAAGTTACTCCCAAAGTAAGCTAGTAAATTAGTTTTTAAAAAAAGGCATGCAACCTTCAATTTTTAGGCGATTTTTCAAAATCATTTATAATCTAAAATCATTTTTTTTTTTTATACTTTCAAAAAGTTTTATAGTTTATTCTGAAATGTGACATTTAAAAGCTTCTTTGTGATCTTGAACTGCACACCAGGTACTAAAATATAAATTTCCTCCAATGCCTTTGATTTTCTTTTGTAACTCTTGCACAAAGAAAAACAATTGTAAAGACATTTTTATTCTATGCTTATTATAAGTGACAGAATATAGTTGTGTGTCAGTTGCTTTAAATTTAGACTTACTTACATTCATATTTTAGAATCAATTAAAGCAGTACTCTCTGGGGTTCTTTTGTGATAGTGATTTTTTTTGTTTGTTTTGGCATGCTTTTTTTGGACCCCATTAAAATAGGACTGTACTGTAATATTTGTGCTCTTTATTAACAAGGAATTCTTTTAATTACTTGATAAAAAGTTTGAGAACTGTTATTTACACAAGGAACCTTGTGCAATCATACTCACTTGTCAGATCTGAAAATTGTGCATTTATACAAGGATGGATCAATAAGTCCATTGTTTAACATGTAGTTATTAGCTGAATTTTTATTAGAATTTCTCACTGTATAATGTTCAGTCTATTTGTTTAACATTCACTAATAAAATAAAATGTTTATAAGGATGGAGGTTAGGCTGAAAAATAAATTTGTTGTGTGAAATAAATGCATTTTAACATTAGGCAGTGTACTTATTGATGTACCTACATAAACTTTGTTTTCAAATTTCCACTACAGCTTCAGTACAAATTTCCATTCTTTAAATATAAAGTTATTATCTATTTCTAAAATTATTTTTCACCTAAAAAAGTATAGTATCTTTAATTCTGTGAAAAGTGTTGGTTATTTTGGTCTGTGAGTATACCCACAGACCCAATATTTTGGAAAGTGGGTTTTGGATCAGGTCAAGCTTAGGTTTGCTACTGGCAACATTTAACCTAGTACAACCTGCTACATGGATGGATGGATGAATGATTAGTGTCTAAACCAGGTTCCACACTAGCTTTTCTGCTGGTTAGGAGGGTGGCATGTCACACCACAGGATGAAAAACAAGACCTGTCAAAGGGCAGATGAGCTTCTTATAGGAGCAAATGGCCAACACACACACACACATATATATATATATATATATATATATATATATATATAGGTCTTGAGGCTTGAATGGCAATCTTCCTAGAGATGGTGTCTTGATAAAAACTTGGACTACCATGAGTGTCTAAGTTGGGTATCAGAAAGAGAATCTGGCCTTGTGAAATCATTACAACAAATCCCGTGTCAGGCAGGACCAACCTTGCTTTGTGCAAGATTAATCCTGGCCCTGCCACAACAAAAAGAAAATTACAGCTATGTATGTATAGCTGGGCTGAGAAATTTTCAGTATCTATGTGTGTGTTTCATTTTTATATATGTGGATAATTGTCTTAAAATATATGACCATTAAAAATGTATTTCCTCTTTCTGTTGACTGGCTCTGTAAGCATCTGTTTATGTTGAAAGATAAAAGTTTGGTCAAAAGTCTGGTCAAAATTCAGTAGAGAGACTGGAGTGACCTCTCCAGGGTGCAGGCCTTGAGCAATGGTAAATAGAGGCCATATACTACCCAGATTACATGACCCTACACTTAGCTGTACCAACAACATCCAAAATAATACAGGGGATTACATGTGGGGCTGACTGGGCTGCAAGAGTTGCCAGAAAGTTGACAGCCAATTAGCTTTGGGGCTCCACTCTGGGTTTTCTGTCAGGATTTACTTCCATGGCCTTTTCCATGTACGGATATGGCCAATTGACAGCAAAGGTTTAAAATAAGGATTTTCCATCACTTATACGGATTGCCTTCCTGGACTGTCAAGCACCATCTACACAAAGCAGCTTGTTATGAGGCACCAGTTGTTCACCTTCACCCATTCTTCAGCTTAGATTTAATTGTCAGAGGCTATTTGAGACACATGCCACAGAAGCATTTCATAGACATTTTACATGACTGGCTCTACTGCATTGATATAATATCAATAGAGTTGAAGGTATTTAAATCCTGAAAGACAAATACACTTTTTCTGTTTTTTTTCTCTGTATTATAAATTGAAAACATCCAAGAAATTCAAATATTGCTGATTCTATTCTTTTTGATTAGAAGAACATCCAATATATTAAAATAAAACACATGAGAAGCAGCCAACCATTTCACAATGTATCACCTGATCAGCAGAAGCTTGTAAATATTCAACTGAGCATGAAATGCACAAGGAATGTCAATTTGATCCTGTAATTTAAGAATGCAAACAGATCAATATTATAAACTGGTGCATATAACGTCTTAATCAATTACATAATGCCTAACTAATTTTTGCCTCTACTCACACTAATATATATATATATATATATATAAAGAACGAACAGTCAGATTTATAACCCAGTGTTCTTTTACATTTATTTTTAAAAACAGTGCTCAATACTTGGTATAAAAAATTATATAATTTTATATTATATACAGTGTTAATTTATTAATATATCTATGGCTGAGCTGAAAAACTTTCAGTATCTTCTCATGTGAGTGTTTCAGTTTTATATATGTGGATAATTGTCTTGAAATATATGACCATCAAAAATGTATTTTCTCTTTCTGTTGACTGGCTCTGTAAGCATCTGTTTATGTTTATATATATATATATATATATATATATAGAGAGAGAGAGATAATATTAGTGGTCAATGTGTGTGTGTGTGTGTGTGTATATATATA